AAAAAAAAGGGGGGGGGAGTGACTCACAGAAGGTCGCACAGCATCCGCTTCACTGTGTGACCCTGCCTGCCCTGTGTGTCCCCCCCACCCCCATGGAACCTCACTCCTGGGCCTTTCCAAGACCTCTCACAAGGAGTCAAAACAGGTCACTGCCCTGGCTGGTGTGGCTCAGTGGAATGAGCATCACCCATGCACCAAAAGGTTGCTGGTTTGTTTCCAGGTCAGGGTACACGTCCGGGTTGTGGGCTTGATCCCCGGGAGGGGGAGTACAGGAGGGAGCCGACTGATCTCTCTGTCTCTCTCTCCCTCGCTTTCTCTCCCTTCCTCTTCCTCTAAAATCAAGAAAAACTTTTTTCTTTTTAATCTGAGGTCCTTTAAGTACCTAAGTCTCCTAGTATGACAAATTCCCTAGCTAAAAGATGCTATAGATAGTTTAACCCTCCGTCCGGTCAGCTACCGTAATAGGCCTTCTCTGCAAGGGGCAGAACATTTGGTCCCAGGAGACCTCACCTTCTTTCTGGAAACTACTATTAATCAAATCCATCTAAACCAAGTCTGATTCACTACATTGCATTGCAGTAATCGCTGAAACAATTTGCATCATTTCCCAATACTTGCAGAGGGTCAGCAAATCCTGACAATCACGCTTCATGTCCCCGCTCCACTCCCAGCTTCTCTGTCCAGTAGCTCTGAGCCTATGAGCAGACGGTTAATTCAGCACATGTAGTGGCTCCAACTGCGCAGCGAGGCCCGTTAGTGCCTGTTTGCTCTGCACAGGTGCGCGGAGCACAGATTTACTACAGGGGGCCTGGAACGAATTCTGTGCAAGGTACCTAAATATAGACAGAAAGGTGCCGCGACTGTCAAGAGGAGGGGTGTGGCTATTTTGACATTAAAATGGAACCTCTGTCATTCCAAAGAATTGGGGAAATTTTGGAGCAGGGCAGAGTAAGAGATGGAGAGTGATTTTAGGTGGTTCACACGCTATAACGGTGAATTATTACTAAACCAGTCTCTTTCAGTTCTTCTAGTTATCTCAAGGAGAAAGTCTGGGTGCCTAATACCTTTCCTCCGCTTGAGGTCTTCCCCTGGGACTTGGGGCGGCCCTACTGGCGATCAGCAGCATTTACATAGAATTTTAAATTCCTCTTTTCATATTGTTTTTATTGTATTCTCTACAGTGGTTGTTTCTATCACGGCAAGTAGCACTGGTTGTTCCTTTGTGAATAGTGTGATATAAAGTTCCCTTTTTTAAAAGGGTAAGTTTAAAAGAAACAAGGCAATTGAGAAACTACTGGTACATGATACATGGCAGAGTCTGGACTGGAGATACCTCCAAGTTTCGAAAACTACCATCAATCGCCTGACAGAGCAGAGGCTCATTTGGTAATTTCACAACAATTTCTGCTCCATTTTTAGGTGTGATAAATCCAGAGTTTGTGTATAGTTGCTGGAAGTCAGACACGTTTAGATGTTCTTGGATATAACAGAACGTAACAAGCTTAAAAAGCAAATAGTAACAATAGCAGCTATCGTGATTTCTCTTCTTTACCATTTATGAAGGGCTTTGCCACTCATGGTAGCCCTGGGTGAGTCAGCACCTGAAAAGGTGTGTTGTGTCCTGCTCTCATTACAGCGCTGTGTGGCCTGAGGCCAGTTACTTAACCTCTCAGGGTCTCCACCTTCTCCAGCCCAGCTCACCCCACCAGGCTCTTTAGTGAGTCAATGGCCAGGTGAACAGACTGCAAATGCCTTGCAGACACTTGAGCTCAGATAACCAGAGGACGCTCCAGCGCTGGGGAGGATTCAGGTATTAAACGGCACCTTTTGCTAATAGCAAGTGGTAAGGGATAATTTGGGGGAATTCATTCTCTCCCTGCACCACCTAATAGGATTCAGGCTTATGAAAGAGGCCTAGGGGCCAGGAGGCCGCTCGAGCTCCGGGAACTGCCGGGAGGGAGGACTACATTCCACAATCTTATTATCTGAGGGGAGGGGCTGGGCACAGAACAGGAGCCTGGGCAAGCTTCATAACTGCCACTCCTGGAGAGGTTCTAGAAGTGAATTACAGCATCAGAAAAGCTGTCAATCACCAGCTGCCTGCCTGTGGTCCCCTGTGTTCACACCAGAGCCGTAGAGCAGCCATGAGGCTGGTGCTGAATGGAGAAGAGGCTGGGGGTGTGGTACTTAACTACCTGTGGGCCACGGAAGGCACCTGGTGGGACTTCCCAGCCATGTGAGGTCTGTGGTGCAGCTGAAAGCATGGTGAGACCAGAAGAAGTCCCCAGACTGGTGCTGAACTACTTCAAATACACACACACACACACACACACACACACACACACACAGCAAGACAATATATTGAGTGGCTGCTCTGTTTCAAGAACTGCCCTAGGTGTTTTTTTACCTGTGCTTTTTCAGTTACTCCTTGAGTAAAACTAATGAGGCAACTGAAGTTCAGAGAGGTTAAGTAACTTCCCCAAGGTCACACAGCTAGTATGCAACAGCCTTGGTTCCAAATCACCCGTTCTTTTCACTCTTTTTGCACTATTCCATTTTACATCTCACACGCATTTCAGAAACACACACATGCGACATACACACCACATGCATACACCCACAAAGGCACCTTACACGCTCACACCCTACACCCTGCATATACATACACACACAAATGTCCATACTAAATGTCACGTTTCACAGCACACTTCCCATGAACGCAGCTATTCACATTTTTGCAGATACAAAGCTGTGGAACAGGACCCACTATGCATCCACAAACACCCCCATGCACACCCTGACCCCCATAGATCCATACACATCCACCCACCTGTACACACAAAAAGTGCATGCAATCACACCTGGGAGCCTACCCACTTCACACAAACTCGCAAACATCCACAGTCACACACATAAAAAGTCAAATGCCTTTACCCCTTGTCCTGTCAATCAAAACTAGCTCCCTGGTCTATGAATAATGGACCTTTGGATGATTAAGCATGAGCGTCTACATAATCCTAGGATACCTTCGTAACCGTCAGAGGCATACCAGGCTGCCTTCAGGATTTTTTCATTAGTAGGGATGATAGCCTAATTATTTTTAAATTGTTGACCCACATTTGCATATTTACAAATACCCTGCTCGCCAGGACATTTGATTAAAGTAGCAAATTATTCATTCATTCATTCACTGTGCGACTGCTGAGCACCAATTATGTTTGAAACACCGTGGCAGACACAGTAGGAGACTAACGGAGCAAACAAACAATAAGTAAAAGCACCATGACTCCTGGTCCTAAAACACGAACACAAGTAACTCTATTGCGAGGCAGCATGGCCAGGCCCTGCTGAGCAAAGGGTGCGAGAGGAGGGGGCCACGGAGACAAGATGGCTGGGAGGCTTCCAGCCCAGAGCGGGAGCTGTGGGTGCGGCTGGGGAAGCTGCGGTCTGGGGAAGCACGTTGGGGAAAGAAGCAGGGCACTCGGCTTGGGAGGGGAATCTGAGGCACAGGCAGGGCATCTAGGTGGACACGGCCTGCAGGTGTCTGCAAATGAGGAAAGGGGCTCCAGGGAGAAGCTGGAGCAGAAAGAGATTTGAGAGTTGTCCATTAGAGGTGATCACTTAACCAGTTACGACCGATGAGACCAGAAAAGGAGCCGAGGTGACAATCAAGAGGGTGGAGAGCGAATCCTCGGGGAACACAGTGTCCTACTTGGCAACACACAGGCCACATCTCTACGCGTGCACTTCCTCACTTCCCCTAGTCCCGTCTCAGGACTAGAAAAGCTCAGTTGCACAAACGATTGCTCTTCAGGCCTTCAGCCTCCAATTCTGACTCCTCTAGAAATCTGCGCGCCTTTGACCGAGCGGGGCAGCGGGAGGGCCGCTGTTCTTAGACATCAGTAGTTCATGCTGTGGCACAACTAAGAACCTGACACCACCTTATCGAGTGGGAACGGGGGTGGGTCCTTCCGCCAGCTGTGCCCCCATTTCCCCAACTGAGCATTTTCGAAAGCGTGTGTTTCATGAGATAGTAGTCCCACAAGCACAGCATCTAAGCTTGTTAAAGGTTCTGAGAAGACCTCGGGTAAAAACGCCTGATTAAATTTGTGTTCCCGAATGCATCCAACTTGGGCAACTTTTCTTTTCTTTTTTTTAATTAGTGACATTCTGAAGAAAAACTTTGGGGAAAGCCTGGACTGCTTGATCTCTAAGATGCTTTCCGGCCGCGCCGTTCCGTGGACCTATGGGGGTGCAGGCACTCAAAACACAGGGCTGGGCCTTGCGGGGGGTTAACCCTCCACTCCCCTCTCCCGGGGAGACCAGCAGCCAAGTGCGATTGCTCTAATCCTCGGAGACGCCGCCTTGGAAGAGGCGGCAGCTTCCCGGCAGCAATCAGACACTCGGCGGCCTGCCAGGCCCCCGCGCTGGCTGGTATCTGGGCTGGATAAACAATTTAGCCCGGGCCTTACCTCATTAGGGACCCGTATTACCTATTTCTCAGGCTAACAGTGCTCCAGTGGTTCTGCAAGAGCTGGGCAAGGCTGAGACCTGACCGCCGCGTGAGAAGGGGCCTCGCTAACCCTCTGCCTTCCTCTCTCCCTCCGTAGCCTCGCTGCTTCTAAGGAGGCGGATGCCGCCCGCTCCGCCCCCAAGCCGATGTCGCCCTCGGACTTCCTGGACAAGCTAATGGGGAGGACCTCTGGATATGATGCCAGGATCAGGCCCAATTTCAAAGGTAGGGAAATCTTTCCTTCCAGATCCCCAGGACCTTTCCTAGGTTAAGAAGCAAGCGGCACGGTCCTGGATGTAGGTGGTAAATACGTGGAAGGAACCCCAGGCTCTCGCCTCTGTCCTAGGCAGACACGGTTCATCAGTTCAGTCTGCTCCCCACCAACCCCAACCAAACCAAGCTCAGGCTCCAGCTCAACAGGACCTCTCGCTGCCAGGAGTCAGCGTATGAATTAAAAGCTATTTGCTACCTCTGGTGTAACGGACACACAGACAAACGTGGAACGTAAAGAAACAGGGTCAAGGTGGGGTTCAATGCAAACTGACTCTGAACTCTGACGACCCTCTTCCTTTCTCTGGGCCTCAGTTTCCTCACCTCTGCAGTGATAAAGTTGGCTATATCTGTGGTCTTTAAACTTCATGGAAGCTCTGGGGCTTCCACCACATGCCCCAAAAGGGAGAAGCAGAGAACACAATAAGCAAACCCACCCCTGCTTCTCCTCCAAGCAGCTCCCCTATTTGTTTTAGATAAGAGGCTTCCAACTCAAATTCATCTCCTGAAAGGTTCCTGGAGATTAACAAATAATTTTTGAAACTTTCTAGTCTAAGTCAGAGTCACAATTTCAAATGCCTACAGGAATTAGGTGGGTAACTTAAATGAGTGAGGGGAGCCAAGAGTAAGGCAACAGGCAGTGGTGGAGACTCTAGAGAGGCAGAGGTGCAGGCCCTCTAAAGGGGACAGCCTCTCCTTAGCTCCAGCCCATAGTTGCCCACAGGAATGTGGGTCCCGTGTTGCCAGACCATACAGTATTCCGAAGAGAGCCAGGAATCAAGATTTATGCAAAATTTCCTGATTCCTAAAATATGTACATTCAAACAGAACATGTTTGTGAGCTATATATGCCTTGTAGGTAACCAGTTTACAAACCCTCACCAAAGTGACCTGGTTTCTTTTAGCTCTCGCAGTTGTATGAGATCTCAACACCAATAACAAGAGGGGACCAGTTCCCTTTGATGCCTTAAGAGTCTGTAGCCACCTTGAGCTGCTGAGCAGAATTCTGCAGGTGTGGTCTTTAGGACTCCCTGGGAGCCTGTGCACTCTGGCCTTCCTCCCAGCACCCTTGCAAAAATCTTATTTTAAGCACCCTCTGTCAGCCTCCTAGTCAATTTTGATTCCACATGCCCTTCCTCACTGCTCCTTTTGGCTCAAGTCCAAAGCCAAACAAGGGCTGTGACAGCTGGTAACGACTTCCTCATGCTTGCTCACTTTACCCCCATTGTCAGTGCTTTGCAAGTAGAAAACAGTCTGGGGCGTGTACTGAGGTTCATTTGCCCTATTTACCTCAAGGCTCCTTCGCTCCCCCAGCACCTTGCTCCTGAGGCCACATCTTCCAGCACGGTTAGCATAACCTTGGTCCCCTTGAGGACAGCTAAGTCAGGACCAAGGTCACCCTCATAGCACTGGGCCCAAGCCCTTCACCAAGGTCTCAATCTCATACACCCACGCAGATGTGGCACATGAGTGAAGCAGGATGGAGATGAGAAAATTTGAGAGCGTGGGGCTAGTCTCAGCTCTGCAGCAGCTGCCCGCAGGCCCCAAGCCAGCAGGTCTTCCAAGATAAGACTTGAGTCTGGAGTTTTGTGAAGTCTTCCAAGTTGGCAGCTAAATCACACCTTTTAGAAACACCGTTGGCCAAATCAAACACATTCGAGAACCGACCACCGGGTTGCAGCCCCACCCTGTCCCCAAACCAGGTTGCATCCAGTTTTAGGAGTTCCAGCCCCTGCGCCCCTGCAGGGCTCTCTCAGGACTCCATGCCGAGCCAGGGTCTTGCTCGCCTGAGAAAGGCGGGACTCGGTGGACCGCGCACGCAGCCAGGGTCCAGGTGCCAGCTATCCTTGGTGCATACCATTGTACACGGCACATAAGACGCCCTCAATAAACCCTTCATGAATGAATGAACAAATAAATCAACCAATGTGCTAAGGCTTAGAGCAGGTAAGTGACTCCCAAGTCATGCTGTCAAGGCTGTAGCGACTTTAGCCCAGCTAGTTACTCTGACTCGATTTGTTATCTAGGGCTAGTCATTTATGTATGTTTATTTGCTTATTCTCGTATTTACTGACTTACTTACTTAGCAGTGAACATCTTTAAGAAATAAAATTTCACCCAGACTGTAAGACCTTTGAATCAGAGCCCTTCCTCTCCCCGCGCTGAAAACCTTACTCCAAACGCGTGGGTCCCAAAATCTACAGAACTAGATCATCTTAGCCCTCTCCTGACCCTGCTCTGTCTCTAACCCCTTCAGTCCCCTCCAAGTAGGGCTCTAGGTGCAGCTTCCAGGAACCCCAGCCAGGGGCTGGGGAGCAACGTTTCTCTCCTGTCCCTTGTGCTGAGGGCTGAAACCCTGGCATGAGGAAGGGACCTCCTGCCCCTGAGCCCCATGGCCCCTTCACACCTACCCAGACACAAAGAAGATTCCCCAAAGCTTCACACAAACCACAGAGCTCCCAAGAAGGCGCCTGTGACCCAACCCAGTAGGAAGAGGCCTGCACTGTTTAAAACTCTAGTGATTAACCACCCAGCGGTTTTCTTCAAGCACCAGATATGTTGCCTGCTCCTGACTCGCCTGGCGATAGGGAAGGCAGGGAACAGTAGGCTCAGTCCACAGAACACAGTGCCAATGCAAACTGTAATAGAGCACTAAAATTGGATTCTAGAACTCCCTCTACTTACCTGATGCATGTAACCCAGAGTAAATCACCTGACGGAGCTGGGCCTCTGTTTCTGCATCTGTAAAATGATCCAGCAGGACGAGGCCCTTCTCGCTCTGATAGTCTGTATCTCCTCTAAGACTCTGTGTAGGACAATGGTTCCCAGGATCAGGGGCACAACCTGATGCAAACACATACACAAAAGCAAAATTAAACTTTAATATTTAATGAAATATATATATTATCCTGCTGCCAAAGGCAGCCAGATTGTAATTTTCTTGAGGATAATTTCATTTCAGATTTATGTCAATGAATCTCACCTCCCCATGGGGTCCTCTGGGCTGGCACCCTCTCGCATACATAAATCAGGACCTAATTTATAGGAGAGTCACAGCACCAGGCACTTGCAGGGGATGGGTGGGAAGTCTGTACACGTGGTTCAAGGCACAGGCAGTAACTCTTTGGGGCATCTTAATGGTATGAGGCTAAATGAAAGAGAAACCTGGGTCTGAGCCTAAATGAAAAAGAAAAAAACCTAATGGGCCTTTGTTTAGCGCAAGTGACGAGGCAGATCTCTGCTCAGCATAAGGAAAATTTTTTAACAGACAGAGCTATCAACTGTGGAAAGGACTGCTCAAGATGAAATGCGTTCCCAGCACTGGAGGCGTTCAACCACTGAGTCTTCAAGCACTGAGCTTTGAACGGGTAGCTGGTCTATAGCAGTGGTTCCTACACCTGGCTGTGCACAAGAATTACCCAGGGAGCTCGATACAATATAGATTCTGGGCTAATCTCCAGAGATTTGGGTTCACTAGGCCGAGGAATCTGCGGTTAACTAGTTCTCCAGGTGATTCTACTGCAGACAGCCCTACCTGCACATCAGTTTAGGTGACCTTTAAGAAACCTTCCAGCCCTGAAATCCTATAACCCTGTAGTTTGAATGAATAGCTTCCACAAGGGAATTACAAACCACTGGAGCTTAGAGTGACTGCCCAGATCAAGAGCTACTCTCCCAGATTGATGGGGAAACTGCGACCCAGAGCAAGGAAGGGGCGTGCCTGGGGTGAAGCAGCCAATGAGTGCTGAAGCTGTGTCCAAAGCCCAGGGATCCTGGCACTCCCCTGGAGGGAAAACCTGGATTCTCACCACGAGACTGAGTCCACCCTATACACCAAGATTTCTGAAAACAAGGAAATCTTGGCAAAGCTTGGGTGAAATGAGCGGGCTACTTTTGCAAGAGGGACACAGAAAATTTGATAACAGGACACAAGGATATCTGCCTCCTTATTTCCACAATCAGAAAACTTGGGTGCGAGTCCTGGCTCTACCACTTGCTGGCTAAATAAGCCCAGGTGGGTTGCTAAGACTCCCTGTGCTCCACCTGAACAGCAGGGACAGTAACTTTGCCTTGCCTACCCCAGGACCTCATGGAGATCAACAAGAAAGTGAACCTCGAAGTTTTCAGATTACACATTTCAATCTTCATGTGCATGACCTATTATTATCCAAGTCTTACCCACCTTCAAGGTCAGCTCAAGGTCATCGCCTTCATGAGATCTTCCCTAATAATTCACTCTCCAGGACTTCTCTTGTACCTGGGCTCCTACTGTGTGTATCCCTCTTACCCATGGTCTCACATTCCTCTCTGGTGGCTTAGGCTGGTCCTTTCATCAGATGTAGAAGTCCAGTGCTTAAAATCCACTGTGTGACCTTGAGCATGCCACTTCCTTTCTCTGAACCTCTTTTTCACAAGGACAGCCATTAGGACAGCCAGTTTCGGAATTAAATAAATCTGAATTCAAACCCTGCTTGTCCTTTTACTGCTGCGTGGCTGAGGACCATGACCTCTCTGAGCCTCCGTTTCCTCATCGGTAGAAGGGAGGCAATAGCCATGCCTCCTTGCGGAGTCGTTGAGGGGACGGAATGAGGTCACATTAGTAAAGCTCTCAGCCCAGCAGCACTCCCTGTAATGCTCAGTAAACGCTAACTGCCATCATTATCAGCATAAAATGAAGATATTTAGCGTCCACTAGACGGAGGCCCCTCTAGCAACAGGGTTCCAAAGAGCAAACATTCCTCCCCGTCTCTCCTCTCTGCGGTGGGGTTCAAAAGCCTGCCGGAAAGCACTTAGCAAAGACCCACGGGCTTCCCTTGCGGGTCCCTGGGGATTCCTCGGCTGGCAACTCCCATCGACGCCCTCCTGGGCAATCATAGCTGGTTCAGGAGTTCAAGGCAAGGGACTGGCTGTTCCTTGTGATTCCCGAGATGGCCTCCAACTGTTGTAGCCATAAATACATTTCAGCCACAAATTAGAAGGCGGCCGGTGGGGTTTGGGGAAGGGATTTCAGCCATATGGCAGGATGGCGAAGCATCCCGGGTTCAGGAAAGTGCATCTGGGCTCAGACTCCGGCGCTGGCTCGGGGGCCAGGGAATCCGGCAGAGCACTGTGGCCGGAGTCCCGATGGATGCTGGGGGTGGGGTGGAGAGTGAGCCAGGGGCTCCCTGCCAAGGGGTGTGCACCCTGAAGTCAGGGTTCCGGGAGCGGGGCCTAGCCTGCGGGTTTCTTGCAGCCTGGAGCTCAGCAGGGATCTCTCTTGCTTGGCAGGTCCCCCGGTGAACGTGAGCTGCAACATTTTCATCAACAGCTTCGGTTCCATTGCTGAGACAACTATGGTGAGTGAGTGAAAACACACGCTGCTGTCCCCCGCTGGGTGTGTCTCTCTCCCTGAAATACGTCCCCTCTGCGTCAGTCTTCTCAAGGAGGTGGGGAAGCTGGTGTTTCCCTGTCTCCGGTGGTACAGCAGTTGGACATTATGACTGTCCTATTCAGTGCTTTAGGTGAGGACATCCGAAAATAGCCAAAGAGCCAGCAGGGCCTGCATGTGCCAAACACCCAGGATTAAAAAAACAAAATCATACCAACGGGCTAAAGCTTTAGATGAAAAAAAAAATGAAAAGACGCGCTTATAAGATTCAAATTCAACTGTGGAATAGCAGAAGACTGGGTGAAGGAGCTGAAATGTATATTGGGCTGATTCTACTCTACTCTCTACTTTTGTACATATTTTAAAAGTCCTAGAGTAAAAAGTTAAAAATAAATCAGTTACACTAGGGAAAAAAAAGGCTAGAAGGAAAAATACTAAAATGTTAATAGCAATTATGCCTGTATCATAGACTGATGGGTGATTTTTATTTTCTTCTTTAAGCATTTCTGTATTTTTCAAATTTCTACAAGGAGTAAATATTACATTAGTAATCAATAAATACATGATACATTAATTTTTTTATCAGTCCTTGAAAACAAAAATAATCAATTGTGCTTGTTTTGAAGGGAGTGATTTTGCTTGTGAGAAAATCATTAAAGCCACTTAGAGCCATCTCTTTATGCCCTGGCTGCGTGGCTCAGGTGGTTGGAGCACCATTTCACATCCATGTTTCTTTCTCTTTCTCTCTCCCCTCCTACCTCTCTTTCTAAAAATCAATAAACCCATCCTGCCCCTCAGGGTGTGGCTCAGCGGTTGAGCCTCGACCTAGGATCCACGTGATCAGGTCCGATTCCCAGTCAGGGCACATGCCGGGGTTGAGGGCTCCATCCCCAGTGGGGGGCGTGCAGGAGGCAGCCGATCAACGACTCTCTCATCATTGATGTTTCTCTCTCTCTCCCTCTCCCTTCCTCTCTCTGAAATCAATAAAGATATATTTTAAAAATAAAATAAAATAAACACATCCTTGGGTGAGGATTTAAATAAATAAATAAATAAGTCATCTCTTTAGAGCAGAGGAGGCAGCAGCCAGTCACCAAGTCCTAGAGCGGGTACCTCCTTGAAATCCTCTAAACCATCCATTTCTGGCCATCCGCCAGTCCCCAGGCTAGTTCAGGCTTCCAGCGAGGCCTGTTCACATCACTGCAAAGGGTTCTCAGCTTCCATCTTGCCCGCTCAGTCCATTCCTTCTCACATAGTGATCTTTCAAAAACACAAACTAAGCACCCCACCCCCTGGCGGCCACCCCCCCAGGCTGCCCCCTCGGCTTCCGCACTGAGCTCAGGCTCCTGTGCAAAGCTGAGAAGGCCCTTCATGGCTCTGCCCTGCCTCGCCTCGCCCCTCTCACCGCCCACTCAGGAGAGAGGGAAACAGTTAGGGTTCGCACAAGGGGCGCCCTCTGGTTTACAGCTGCTGTTGATGCTGTGGAAGCCTCTGCCTAGGGCACCCACTCCAGCCTCCTCTCCCTTGGCATCTCCTCCTATTCCCATTTACGTTTCTGCTTAGAGTTACCTCTGCAGGAAGCCTTCATGCTCTAACACGTGTGTACATGTATGTAAGAGCTCCTATATGGGCTTGACCCAAGACTAGGATGGCCCCTTCTTCCCATTCTCGTGGCCCATTTGACAGTTCCCATGATAGCCCTTACATGTACCACCATCACCGTCTGCTTATTTGTAATAGTAACGCAAGTGCTTTGCGGTCCAGAACCTTGTCTCCTTTCCTGTGGCAATCTCAGCAGCTAGCACAGTGATATATAAACAAGTACTCAATAATTTTTTTAAATAAATAAACCCAATCAGATATATTGTCTGTCAGTTCAAGCCATCATTTGGTCCTAAATGTTAAATTACATCAAGCCTTTCAGTCCCAGACCGACAAAAATCACTGAGCTCTGCAGGCCACGGGGCAAATGGTCCAAAATCTGTCCTTCTTCGAAGAGACCTGTCTTTTTTTTTTTTTTACTTTTTTATTGAATGTATTGGGGTGACATTGATTGATAAAATTACCTAGGTTTCAGGTGTACAATTGTGTAATACACCATCTGTATATTGCATCGTGTGCTCACCACCCCAAGTCAAGTCTCCTTCCATCTCCATTTACCCCCCTTTACCTTCTACTACCTCCCGCCACCTCTTCCCTCTGGCGACCACCACACTGTTGTCTGTGTCTTGATACAGCCAAGCAGACCCTACCCACATCCAAAGGAAGAAGGAGTTGCCATTTTCCAGCTTGCACATCCACAGTCCTGTGATTTTTTTCCCCCCACCGGGTACTTAATTATCTGTATGTGTTTAATTTGCTTTGTGGATGATTTAGGGGAAGAAAAAAAAAAAAACTAAAAATCTCAGAGCTAGCAAAAAACTTAAGAACTGGTCTAAGCCAGTACTTTATTTTACAAAAAGGGAATCTGATGACTAGAGCGGTGACCTCACTTGAGCAAGGTCACAAGGTCACAGGGCATGGAATGGCTGCTCTTTGCAGCAGTCAAGGGCTCCCCTCCCTTCAGCTCTTTCCCCCCTAGATCCCACCAACCAAACCATCTGGGCCACTTTCTCAAGCCTCTTTCCTTGTCACTCAGAATATAACAGCAACAGCCACACATTAAATGCCGCTGGGTGCCAGGCGGTATGCGGGGTGCTTCTGCATATACCATCTCATTTAGACCTCACAGCAGCCCCCAGGAGGCAGGAATTGTTATCCCCATTTTACAGATAAGGAAACGCCACTGAACAGACATGTCTAAGCCCCAGACTTCCAGGCCAGGGCTCTGTCTCTCCAACCCTGCGAAGAGCTGGTTGAACACCCTGGGTCCCGATAATACGAATAGAGTCCCAGCGTCAGAAACTTTCCAGACTCTTTTTGCCCTTCAGGAGCAGCAGGGGTGCACAGCAGCTCTATAAACAGCTGGAGTCCCTGAGCTTGACTGTCTGCTTCCCAGAGCCTGGCCTCCTTCACCAGGCCTGAGAGCAGAGACAAGCAGCCAGCAGAGCAACAGGGTCTCTGTTCTCTCCAGACCAGCGGGGGGGCGGGGGGCCTGTGGCTGCCTGCCCTTCACCTGACCTTCCCAGGGACTCGCTTTGAGTCTAGGCAGCAAGGTGAAGGCAGAAGGCGGAACAGGAGTGAATGAGGGAGAGGCAGGAAGGGGCTCCTGATCGAGAGCAGCCCCCCTGGCGGTCTACAGGAGAAAGATCTGGAGCTAGAACCTGCAGGGAACCACCCCAGCTTGTCTGCACACACATGCTTATGAGTGTGCAAAAGTGTGCACGGCAGCCTCTATGTGTCTGTGTAGTATGCATGCACATGTGTGTGTTGTGGGGTTGTTTGTGCAAATGTACACACAGGCATGTGCATATGTGTATGCTAGTTAGACATGTAATCTAGAAGAAAAATGTGTATGACCATGTATAGGTATGAGTATAAGTATGTGTATTTCTAGTTATACATGCACATGTGAATGTGTGTAAGTGTGGATGTGTCCGTATCTGTTATGTATATATGTAAAAATAGGCAAACGTATTTAAGAGTGAGTGTACGTGAAGGGCACTGTTTCCATTCATGTAATTGTGTGTGGATATCTGTGAATATATAAGCGCTGAGTTAAGCATGCATCAACATGAGTCAGCATATTTATATTGTGTATATGCATGTGCATGTGAATATATGTACAAATACATGTGAATAAGTGAAGGAGGACACATGAATCATTATGTGCGTGTGAGTCTGTCTATGTACGTGTACAGGTGTACATGGGAGTGAGCACACATGGGGGCACGTATATCGCAGCAGTTCATGTGGAACTATATGTAAACAATGAGAGAGAGAGAGCGTGAGCACGTGTGTGTCTGTGTATTGGCATCATCTAGGCATGAATCCCAGCATTTCCATTATCAGGCCATCAGCTCCGGCCTCTCTTACCAAGGGTCTGGTTAGCCTGGCACAGAGACAGGCACACCGTGGTCAGGACCCTGGGGAAGAGTGGCAGCCTATCCACAGTATATTTACAGACAGCAAAGCTCTGGCACTTTTTTTCTAAGTATACAAGTAATAAATGAAAACAAGCTTTGTAATAAGCCCATTTTAAAAAGATGAAAGAAATAGGAATGCACATAAGCAACCTAGTGTACATCCTACTAGGTCCTCTCCTTGGCTGCACATACATTTGTGGACACACATCTCTGTAGAAATGGGATCGTGCCGGTACAATTTGCTTTTTTACCCTTCCTCCATGTCCTGGAATCTGTCCACATCACTCCATGTAGGTCTGCCTCATTCCTAACTCTCCACACACCACCAACTTTGGAAACATAATAGGTAATCAATACTATGTTCAATACATGACAAAATTATTTTAATCCATGTTTCCAGACTTTATGGCGTACCTGTAGAATTCCATGGTCTGGACATCATTTCATGGTATTTAAACACCCTTCTTCTGATGGACCTTTAGGCTTATGCAGCTTTTCACTATTACAAATGCATATTCTTGTGTATAACTCTGCCCATTTCCTAAGGACATATTCTAAAAGTGGAACTACTTTATCAAAAAAACGCACACTTCGTTTCATTATTTTGACAGATATTATTGCCCAACTTACTTCCAAAGAAGCCTCAATAATTGTCCTCACAACAGTGTTCATTTCTCTCTATCCTTGCCAGCCCAGGATATTATCATTTATTTTTTATTTTACCAGGTGAGATTTTTTAAATAGGACTTCACTGTCATTTTTATTTTTCACTCCAGATCCTTAGTAAATTTGAGCATCTTTGCATATATTTACTGGGCAACTTGAATAGCATAGGTTCTTTTTTTCCATGTACTTTCTTAACCCATTTGGTTTGGTTTAGTTTAGTTTTCTGTAATGTATTCAGTGGTGGTTTACTTTTCTCTGATTATATAATAATATTTCC